GAGAGATGTGACTGGCCGGGTTAAGTTGAGTTCAAACGTTGCAACCGCAACATTGATGTTGATGGAATTAACGTTCCAGGTTGCAGTGTTGTGGTTAGTTCCCCCCATTTTGAGCCAGTTCTGACCTATGACAATATGGGCATGTCCATGAGTTGGATAGATGGGATTTGCCTTCAATCTTTTCTTCATCTACGCTACTTCTTACTGCACTTACTTAGCTTGAAGACCCACTGAAGGAATTTGGGAAACGTGCGCACTTTGACGGCTTGGATAGGCGTTTTTACACAATGGCTCGGTAGACCTTTCAGTCCCTTTCATTGAATACCAGTTATCCTCCTTTTTGTTATTGTTGCTATGTGTTGTGGCACTCTACCAATTGTATATTGCTTGGGGGGAACTAACCGCAACACTGCAACCTGGAACGTTAATTCCATCAGCATCAATGTTGCGGTTGCAACGTTTGAACTCAACTTAACCCGGCCAGTCACATCTCTCACATAATATTGGCCTCTAGGACATTCCGGTTTGAAAAATGTGGCACCTTCTGTGTGCGACGCCCATGTATGTCCCTCCACCCCTTCCGTTGACAAGTGCATTCATGGGAATCGCGACGACCAAGGCTGGTTAGAGAGATTTTCATGGGAAGGTTGGACTAGGTAAATGAAATTGGGTTGAAAATACGCAGCGTATTGGGGCCGGACACCAAGTAAGGTGAACGACGTTGAGCCAGTCCAGAATAACACAGTCAACTTGTTCACCGCTGGCCGGGTTAAACTACGGTCAAATGTGGCAACCGAACTAAGGACAAAACTGCACACATCGCTGATGGAGACTGCGTCCTGTGTGCAGTGTAGACAATTGTCGGTATTGGTGTAAATGCAACAATATTTCCACAGTGAACCCAAGGATCAAGGGTGCGAGCTAGGGAATACACCACATGGTGAATGTGAACGGCATTAGTATTATTTACATATCCTATTGCGTCGAAGATATCTTCAGAGTGGGTAGTTTATAACGTTCTGATGTTCGCATGGTTGAAGTCTGAAAACCCTAATTGTGCGAAATTTGCGGTTTCGCAAGCCACATTTCCTGAGCTGAGATAGATGGTAGTAATGTCATTAAAATGTCAATTGTCTGTATCTGATGTTATGTCAGTACGTTAAACAACGTAGAAACATTCCCACGCCAACTACCCCCGCATTTGCTTACGCACGCTATTGGGTCAAACAAGGATCGTCCGAACAAGCCAGACTGTATCCAAGTCTTACTGGACAGCTATTCGCGCCTTTCTGGCACGCAAATTAAATTGGGCTTACTGTAGGAATGGTTGCTTTTAAATCTAAAGTACAGCTTCCGAACCGGCTGATGTGGGTTCCGAACTTGACAGACCAACTTCCAATCGGGTAACGGGTTAACGCGCCAGTACACTCAAATACAGCGGACAAACATCGCACAGAGACGGTTACTATTAAATACGCGATTCATTTGTTCAGATTCCATGACAACATCTTGTCTGGCAATGGACGTGTTTGCGAACTCGCATCTAGCAGTTCCTCTCACTCTTGGAAAAGCCTGACATGACGTGCGCAGTAATTTCGTATTCACTACTATTCAACTATCCACGCTGATATCCCATACTGTGATACATCTGACGGTTGCTTCACCCGGCAAGCTCACTTGGTCCTACAAAGCGCTTTCCAAACATCCTAGTTTTCCGAACAAAGAAACTGTATCTACATTATCTCAGGCTGATCATGAAAGAGTACGGCGCAGCGAATACCAGCATGAAAAGGACCATAAGTTGAACATATCACTCGGGCATGGCTCACTGGATGTCGGTCCCGTGTCACTCCATTGCGCTAGACATCAGATATCGCTTCAACCCCCGTACGAACACACAAACTTACGTACGTGCAAACATATTTTGAAAACACTGGGAATACTCACACGTTCCTACGCGCTGCCAGTAACCTGCCATACAAACAGATACGTAAAAAATAGGCCAGCAAAGTGATCAAAATATGTCATTTTTTTCTAGACAATTAGTGAAATGTACACGCATATGTCGAATAGCATTACGACATCCCACAACGCTGATATCCTTGGTGGCTGCTTCAGCAATGCGTTCAAGGAACTGCAGCCTCCATTCCATCTGCGTCATGAGTTTCTGGGGATCCCCGGCCAGAAGTTCCTCGTAGTGCACTCTCATCTCATTCTTCACTCTGGCCTTCACCACCTGCCAAACATTCTCGATCGGATTGAGGAACGGAGAGTATGGGCTCAATCTCAATATGGTTACTCCGTCGAATCCATCTACTGACGACAGTTCTTCCAGTCGTGTGTGACATGGTGCATTATCACATATCACGACAACCTGCCGGAGCTCCATCTCCCGTTTCAGGTTGTCTAAATAGCTTCGCAGCCATTCGAGAGATATGGAACCTGTGAATGAGCCTCTCCGGGTTGTCATCGACACTTTCCCTTCCATCGTGAGTGCACCGATTAAATGTAAATTGTGCCCTCTGCTGTTGGCAACTTTGCAACAGGCCCTCACTCCTCTGGGCGCCCGACCACGAGTACGTTTGCAGTAAACGTTGAAGTTCGCTTCGTCAATCCAAATGAAGAACTTGCCATCGTTCTCAAATTGGAGAAACTGCTGAACGAATTCCCTGCGTATTCCTTTGTTTCGCTCATTGTTCATTCCCTCGGGAACCTGATAGATGTTCTTCATAGTTATCAATCGACCATCTAGGTGCCGTGCAATTGTTGACTTCGAAATGTCCTTGTCCATTTCTGCTCGTACTCGTACTCGCATTTCCCGTAGCGTAGGAGTTGAGTCCCTTGCGATCCAATCCAGGATGTCATCTACGTCTTCCTCCGACAAAATCCGTTTACGACCGCGCGCCTGCGTAGTACTCGGTTCCTGATCAAGAGAACGACGAATCCAGGAGTAGGCTGTTTGATATTTGACGTTGTTCACAGTTGCCACAAGCTGCCAGTCATCACCGTTGACGAAAGCGCCCAAAACTCGGTCACGAATATCTGATGAGATACTCTGTCGAACGTGAGAAGGCATGCCGATGACGTAAGAATCATAGACATGGTTTCGGTCGTGCGCTTATGTTCCAGCTGTTCATTGCTCTCAGACCAATTGTGATCCATTGTTTCGGACGTGAGGGGGGCGCATACAAGCCCGTTGCACCGTCGAAGTGCATTCCTCCAAGGTTCATTCACAAGTCTCACCCAGTCAACGAGCAGCGCGCTCACCTCCCCAGACTAACGCACCGAACCTTGGCATCCGGCCAATGAGAACACACTTAAGGTCAGAGGATTGGCTCTGAGCGGCTGGCGAATCGCACAGGGTTTTGCAACATTATGGACTTTCTTTGCAAAGTTTTGGACCTTCTTTGCAAAATTTTGGACTTTCTTTGCAACTTTGCGGGAAATGCTATAGTGTGAAACGCAAATGCCGCAACGGCAAATTCAGGGTCATGGCGTCTACACCACGTCAACAACACACGGTCACAGACAAATGGCCATAGTGCAGAAAACGAAGGGACAACATGAGGCAATTGGTATGTTCGTAAAGGATTAAACGTGCTTGATCGTGAGCGGCTATGTAGCGTGAGGCAGGTTACGCTTAGCGAATACACAAGCATGACTTTTTCACAGGATAAATTGTAGAATGTAAAACGGGATAACAAAACCATATAGTGGGAAGCACTCGGATAGGCTCTAATGGGATGGGTGATGAGAGGTGTTCTAAAAGTTAATAGGTTCAGACAGACAAAATCTCGACGGCAGTAATCAATAAATCTGATCGGTGCGAACCGCACTCATCAACTGCACAATCAGCTAGTTTGTGTGTGCGCAGCTAAACCGAAGAGACCTGTAGAGGCACAAAGTATAACAATTGCTGTAGGCTGTCTACCTCGCCGCCTCCTCCAGTCTTGTCTAGCAACCGTAGACAATGAGGACAGCGGTGAACGGGCAAGCTCAATACGTGTCTAAGCCACCGCAGTTAACGCAGTGAAACGAGCTCCTCAAGCGAGTGGCTGCCTCGTCCCAAGACACGCTGCCTAACCTCCACATTGTTTACGTGGTGCAGCCACCACACATGAGTAATGGACCGCAAACAACTGTGCTCGCAGACCGACGGTCGATACCGGTTAACGGTAGGAACAGGTTAGGTCTCGTATGCACAACAAACCATCCCATTGATGGATGGAGAGACGAATGCAACAGCAGTAACGCAGGTGCCTCAATCTGGGGAAAGCGAGACCAGCGCTTGAGATATGCATCGAAATTTCGTTTCCAACACCATAAGAGTACAACTTCCACAACCAGGCACCCGTGGCACAAAATGCATTCCAACGACATTCACTCAATGAACGACAAGAAAGCACGTTTGTATAAGCCAATAGTTCTTTCGAGTGCCAAGACCCATAAAGAAGAAACATCACTGTAAAGACACAACGATCAAAAAGCCAAGCTAAAAACGCTTATGGACCTGGATAGAACCGATGACAGATGACATTACGGAAATCATCTTTAGCGGAACGAACTGGAAGCTTGAGAATTAGTAAATAACTACACTACTCTAGACAAACCAATTGCAAGAATGGAAACAAAAGCACTGGGGTGGCAACTAATCGTGTGTGGAATAAGTGGCCAGATGCTAAATTGTGGATGTTTTGTTTTATGAATAGTTCTGATGACAACAAATAGTTCGTGGTCAGGTCAAATGAGAGATGGTTGAGGATAGAAAAATAACAAAGTAGTAGTAGCACGGCATCCGTTGTGAATGCATACGTTGAGGAAAGCATTAGCATTGACGTATCAGCATGCACAATATCAAACAGGGGAAAGTTGGAGGCATGAAAACTCCAAACGCAATCGGAAGAAAGCTGTGACCGGTAGTAAAACGCTCGAACATATCATATCAGAGTGGTTGTTCTCCAAACCATGCGAATGGCTTCCATTCCGAAACACAAGCCTACCGGACGCATTGTAACAGAGGAATTTCTTTGTGAGAAGACGGCTGATTGGGGTCCTCAGATTCCAGACAGCATGTTTGGCAGCTGTGAGCGGGACATTGAAGAAGCTGGAAAGCCGACGATCTGCTCGCTTTCGACTCTGAACCGGATTGTCGTGTCAGCACGCCTGGCCATTGCACCACGCAAGTTTGGTGAAAATGACGTCCGCATTCGGGTTCCTATGGTGAAGATGCACGAGTTATGCAGATGGGCAAAGGACCAGAGAAACCAGATCAGTTCATTTGAACAAATGTCAAACGACAGCTTACCCGACAAATAAACAAGGATCCAACGGAGTCTGGCTTCCCGCAGATTTCACACAAATAGTCGCCTGTTAGGCACTGGGGACATTTGAATTTATCTGGTTGACTGTTGTCTATGGGAGAAAGTTGAAAATGAGACATTATAGTTTAAGTACCGAGTAGGCGCAGGGTCGATAAAAACATTACTCATCGAGGCATTACGGATTCGGTCCGACATCATGAGTTGAGCATCCGAGCAAAAGACGGGCAAACGAGGAGAAGGGATGTGAAAAGTATGTTGCTAAGCACGTGCTTAGATGACCAGAGGTAGCTACAACAAGATTCCATTACGATAAGTAGAAAGTTATTAGTGTGGTTCCAGCACGGCGGGCTTCGTTGCCGCATTTTGACTGTAATCAAAGAAGGCACTGCTCAGCTTATAGAGCAAAAAACGTAATCAAGACCAGAAAACGGAATGCCAACCCAACGATAAAGCGAAAACGTAGCCAGAGAGGAAAACGAGTGTGGACGAAATCCAGCATATCTTTCGCAATTTTGAGCATCCGGGTCTGAGATCAAACTGAGTAACGCAAGTGAGACAACCGTTCGATTGGATTAATTCGTTTAAAGCAGATGTACGTGTGGAGAGACGTTATGCTATGTATAACCTTACACAACGTCATGTAACGTGGGGAGATATGAAAATGCTTTACGCAGTGGGGTAGTCAGGATTCAGATATGGGAAATAAGAGCTTGAGCACAATGGGATTTAACGTGTGTACACTAGCAAACAAATAAGTACTGTCGATTTTCGTTTGCACTACATTTTCTGTGGGTGGATCTCGGCATGAAATCTAAAGCTAGACCGCGGATTACCTTCAAATAAACTTCGGGCAGGGAAACTGTTGAGGGCACGTCAAAAATCCCCGCAAAAACGCACCAGAAACCCTGTCAGAATGGCTGTGGGAAGCGAGGTTCAATTCCTCCCCACAACGCAGCAGAGCTCAGCCACTCCGAGACGCGGCCCAAACTGCGCACCTTCTGACAATGGTCATTTACAAACTGCCACCTCTTCGTGGTGACTGTTTTCCTTAACTTAATAACCCATAGCACTGTCTGTGGTAGCCCTTTGTCGGTCGTAAAAGAGCCTTCAGAGGACCACTTGCCTTTTCTTTCTCTTCGCCTCAGTTGGGAGTCGGTCGGGTCGCGTGATTGCGTGTGAGTCGTTAGCTGGCCAGCCTTCGCGTCTAAGTCATTAGCGCGCGTCTATCGTAAACCCCCCTCTCGCCTGCGTCCGTCCGAGGCTCGGCGTCTATCCGAACACGTGCGGCTAGGATCGTTCACAAGCTCGCTCAATTATCCGCCTCACCGGCTAAGCCAGCGTCATCAGGACAGCGCAATTCCGTTCGAGTGGTCAGCGTAGCAAGCAATTATCGTAGGCGTGCCAGCGACCCTCTTATCAGGCAATTACGCAATTATCTCAAGAGGCGGCGTTCCCTCAATTATAACAGTGGCGACGCAATTATAACAAAAACAGAAGCAGTAGCTTGGGACAATGTGTGTCCATGCCTTGATGCCATACGACATCAACCGGTTTCGCGTAAATCGTGACAGTACAGAGGCGCTGAAAACCATGTTGAACTGGGAACACGCATTCAAGGCACCCAAACGGCTGAACTGCTACATGACGGATCTCCTCGATTAGCTAGATCAGTGCGATGCAGTGCTGCACTCCCAGGATGAATTCCGGTTTGATTGCACTCTATTGGTAGAGGTTTGAGAAGTGACAGTCGAACCCGATGTGTAGAGATTATGAGAAAAACGCTTCTTTTACAAGAGCTAACGGCTTATGGTTGGTTATATTTGGGGCGTCCAACGTGTGTGTTTCATTTGTGGAAATTATAACGGTCGGAGCTCGACCTCCAGCTAAGGTCAATCTCAAAAAAGTACGAGAAAGAACGAAACCAGTGCAGTGTCAGCCCTGAGAGCGGACAACAAAGAATGTATCCGCAGATAAAAGAAGTATTCTCGAATTGGTGAACCAGGTGGGCGAACGGAGTTAAGGCATAATGATAACCGTTTTCTTATGACGGCAGGCTAATACCCGGGAGTAAAACCTGAGAAAATTCATTATTTCAAGGGGAAAATGAGTTGAACGAGTTGAAGCATTAAGTCGTTTACGGAACACTGACCTCCATCACGTGAAGTGCGCATACCTACCACGTAGTGGTCAGTAGGATCACCGGCGGCTCAGCGGCTCAAATTGTTTTCTCAAGGAAATAAGGAGTATTGCTGAGAGGTTTTACTCCCGCAAGGACAACTTAAATACACCCTACTCATTTTTCGCACTAACAATGAGCGATGTCTTACGGAGATCTGCGGTGTAACACGATCAGTCCGTTGATAACCTTGAAAAGAAGTGGTCATGCACTGATAATTTTTAAGTAATTTTCGAGTACATATTCCTTAAGCAAACAGTCCCAAAGTCTACATCGATCCACCGAATCAAAACCACCTTTGATATGGTGCGTCGCAAATATAGGTGGCATTGCTCCAAAATTGACACAAAGTGAAGTTGTGATAAATGGAACCTTGATTTCGACGAAACCCGGAATTCACTTCACGAGTCTGGTATTCAGGTGTGTCAATCAGTCTGTGGTGAATGACAGAAGCAAGTAATTTGGGGGAGATAAAGATCAGATTGATATTTCCAAAATTCCCGCATTCCGAACGCTAACCTTCCTTAGAGTCGGGACTATAACGGAGCAGAAACAGACGGTTGAGCCCGTTTCCTGCCCCCACAGTTCCACTAAAAAATTGTTTGAAAGAGCTGGTTCTCAGGATTTGTAGGGGGCTGAAGCGTTGGACTAAATAGTCCAGCGGTCTTATTCAACTTCCGCGGTCTAATCTCAAGTAGGACTTATGCACGCGATGACGAATCCAAAAGGACAGCCCAAGGAATAAGGCGATCACAGGCCGGTAGCGAATCTGGCCTTTTGAACTACCCAGTCCCACGCTTTACACATTGGGATAGGTTGTAGGTAAGCTGTCAAGCTCTGTCGCATATAGTTTCGCGAACATATAGTTTTCTTATGCCCCCTTCCCGTGTCAGACGAAACAGCCTCCGATGGGTGTCAAGAGCAGTGGTCTCCGGCGCAAGTTGAACTCACCAGACTTCACGGTCTCACTTCAGGCTAGCACGCAGTTTATCCCTAAGGCATTTGTGAGTCTCGTTGTGGTTGTTTTCAGCCTGAGTGTCGGTGGACATCTTTCTTCAAAACTGGAATATTCCGAACAACGTGATAAGTTCAAGCTTGATTCGCTCTGCCTACGGCGCATGAAACATAACCTAGTTATATGTTTCGACATATTGCACAAAAATATACCTTTTCAACCTAAACATGGCATGAATACAATCAGGCGTCTACAACACATGACATAAACAGAACTCGGTGGCGAAATACGAGTCCAGGACCAGTAGGTCTGAGAACTTTTCCCTTAACGGGTAGGCTAGTTTGGAACAAGCTACCACTCGAATTACGTGACTGCACACATAACCACGAATTTCGCAAAGGCAACAACTAGTTCCTGACTGTACAGAATGTGATCAAACTGTTTGATTGTTTTATAACTGCAAACCAAGTGTACAAGCAATGTCTAGGTTTCATATGACGCAGGACATGTTTTGCTACCATACTCTCCTTTCTGAGTTAGCTGTTTTATAACAAGTTGTGTGAGAGCAGTTAAAGGCCAGCAAACATCGTTTCATTTCAGCCAACCATTTATCACGTTCCGCTGTCATCATCTGATCTGAATTTTGATTTCACTGATCCATCTGTACTCAACGTTCTATATAAGTATGCACTCATCCGAGAATGCCGTTACAGGCGTGTCTTGCATCGTCGAGACAGTGTAGAGACACAGCGTCCAGGTTGGCAGCCAGGTCTAGCGAATATGCGATCAGTGATCTTCAGTCGTGTCTAGTGACCGCTTGCACAACAAGAATGCTCGCGTACTTTAATACGCATTCAGGACACGTGGCTTCATCAGTTGGTGGGTATTTTTGCACTTACAGCGTCGTCACGGACGTCCGCCGAGACGCACTCGAAGATGGACACACAAGTGCGTGGCCAGAGTCCGACATTGTGCTCCAAATCGAGGAGCAATTTTGGACGTAACCTCTTCAACCGCAACTGATCGCGATGTGACCGATTTGCGTTCATTGTTGATCCGAGGCTGGTGGACATCACGTTACGGTCAGGTGGGTGCTGTGTCGGAAGTTAGTACTGGCGAGAAACAGACGATCATATTCACACAGGTGCAGCGACCGCTCACCGTTATAATTACCGGAGCTTACGTCGTGTTGGTCGTCCAGAGGTAGCACATCAGAGGACAATTCTCCGACTTGGACATGCAGATCACCAGCAAGCACCACAGTACCCACACTATTTCTGTAATGAAGATCGTTAAGTTATTGGTAGAAATCGTCTTTCACCGAGACAGAGCGACTTTGAAACTTTGAACAAGTCAGCTAGTCTAACGGCGCACATCCGACTACTGATTGTGATTCACTCTACCAGAGCAGCGAAATACCGGTGGCCCACACCGGCTTGATCCACATCTGAAGCTGCATCATCGCCAGATAGGCGCAATGAGAAAGTGTAGTCAGTGTCGCATGTGGGTGATCGCAGGGTAAGCACATAGCTCGATCCTTGCAGGCGGGTTTCCGATAAACGGCAGATATCTACCAATAGAGTATGTAGTGTGCAGTCAAGTGTTACCTGTTAGCCAATTTGTAGCAAAGGGTGTACGCTGAGGCATGGCAGTCTCAGAGAAGATCAAGGGCTCCGAACAGGAACGAGTGGGTTGATGTTTTCCGCTTGGTTGAACATGGATTCGTCGACTCGCCCAAGCGACGCCCTGCGACTGCGAGTCGAATCCAGAAGGCAAGCGACTTGAAATGAGATGAGGGAGGACCGAGAATTGAGAGGTTGAAAACAGAGGGGTAGAAGTGAAGTTGGAATGGGACGATAAGGATTAAAAAGCGCAAGAAGGGGAATAAGAAGACGGGAAGGCTTAAGCAGAAGCATCAAAACCGTTATACACCCTGCTTGATGCAGCAGTTAGGGCGCCGTTTATTATCCGCTGCGACGGACAGAGCATCAAGAAATTGCTTGAAGATTCATTGTATTGCGTGAACAGGATACTGTCAGGTTACCCAGGTCTAGACAGGAAAACGAGTAGGGTTTTCAACCAAAGCCTGTGGTTCAAAAACTTGACCACAAGGCAGCGGAGTTTTGGCATGGGGATATAGAGAGTCCGTTATATCGAGTATGGAGCCACCCTCATTCTAACTCCCAAACTGGAGGGCCAGGAGAGTGAGTTTGTCCGGACTCGACCCACTGACCAAACAGGTAAGAGTGGCTTTGGCAGTGCAAGAAGCACCACCTGGCATAGCTCAATGGATCACTGTATGCAAATCATTGCAACACATTAAGGTCCGGTCTAATCGTAATGTTAGTTAGTGTATTCGAGGTCTGTATAGGTGTTTGTCGTCTGGCATGACAAAAGAGGACTAAAAAGTCATCGTCATTCCAAAGTTATATTAGAGGCGAAAAACGCCTGTTATTACGTCATAGGAAAAAGTAACGGAGAAGCCAAGAAAACTAACGAGTGAATGAACATTTCGGTGTCCCAGTCCGGGACAGGAATTTTTATAGAAGCTTTCCACTCACTGCTTTCGCCTCAATAAACTATTCTACAAGATAGCTGAGAGCAGCTCCGACTGGACGGTGGCTGCCGAACCCTCCTGGGGCTGTTTGAAGTCGGTTGCATGCACCTTTATAGAATTCGGAAACCGAAGCAGTTGCGAGCGTTTTGTCATAATATATAGTAACCCTGCACCCACTGCTATCTGTGACTGAATGTTGGTGAGTTTGCGAGTTTGATTAGGAAATACTTGGCTTGAGAAGAGAGAAATCGTGGTGATCGTGTGGCACACCAGTCGAGTGGAACTTGTAACCCGTAGCTTTTGTCTCGTATGGCCAAATTTCAGCAGCGCAGGTTCCTCAATTATCCTGGAATTTCGACAAGAATGAAATTAAATCCGTTTGTCTTATTTCATATCCCAGACTTGTATGGTATAACTGTTTTGGAAGCAAATGGAAATACGGCTCTGTTGATCTTTGACGTGCGCAAACCATAGCACCACTGAATGATCGAATTTCACTGCAGTGGAATCCATGTGTGAACTTAGGACAGATAAACGAAACCACGGGTCCGCATAAGTTGAGTTCGAGAAGCGGAAAAGACTACCATGAAATTGTCGCCAAATGATTACAGTGAAAAAGGAAAAAGAGCTGTCAGCAGTACACCGGAGCACTACACCGACGCTTCGATGGCACGCGATCAGCACCAGCCACGCGCGCGCACGCGTTAGGGATACCACGAAGTCGTCCGTACCTAGACAGGTTGGTACCGGTTGTGGTTGATTAAAGGCCGACACTACTGCCCCAGTTATCAGTAGCGTGGAGAGGTCAGCATGCGAAACGGTAACCAGCAAACAGTAGGCGGTAATGAATTCCCCAAAGGAAAAGGAACACTTTAGAACAGCAGTTGTGTGCTCGTGAGGAATAGTCGCATAAGGAATGCGCACCATACAACCCCTGGACACAGAAGGAAATTCGCGCCATGCAACCTCCAGCAAGTAAGGTGAAGATAAGTGGATGTCTCGTTTGTCGGAACGGATGCACCTGGTATTAACTGTTGACGAAACAAGTAGTTCCGCCTGCATCTCGGGTTCCCATACGGTGACCTCCGAGGTAACAAAGCACGCTACTCCCCCTTCGGCCACCCGCCGACAATTTTGCTGGGAAGTGGTGTAGCATTTGACAAACGTCCAAGAACAATTGAGATTGAAATTTATGGTGATGAAGATAAGTGTTGACCAGATCGGTTGCCAAGACGCTGGACAATTAATTTAGAATGTCAACAATATTTACAGGTTCAACTAAGAACATTAGTTCGTAGTCTGTATGGGCAGTCTGTGAGATGCCATTAGATGAACCGGAGTATCCTGAAACGAACTGGAAATTTCGTCTGGGTCCCATCAACCCAGTTCGTAAGTTTGTTGAAATAATAGATTTCATCACATTCAATTTCCCCCGGGTAGGAATAAAGTGTGTGGTAGTTCGATAGAGGAAAGCCAGCGTGAAGTGATCTTTAGGTACGGCATCAAAACGCAGAACCCCAATGGTTTCTATGCCTACACTGATGAGTTTCTTCTTTTAGAAGAGATCTGTCAAAGTGCACGTACTTTTAAACGTGATAAATTTGTAAAAATGTGAGTATCGCAGCCAAACCGTGTGAACACGAATAGCAATGAGACTAAAACTATTATTTTGTGACAGGTGTCCAGGACTGAGTATACAAGCTGCTAAAACACGCTGTCTGAGACCATCGGTACAGCAACGAAGTGGGGAAAGACGAATACACACATAGACAGACAGAGTAATGGGTAGTGAACGCTGAAAGCAACTTAAGGGGATCGACAGATGAGCCTCGGTGACGTCAAACGCGCAATAAAGCTCCATCTTCCAAGTAGCGAGGAATGGTGAGTGTCGCGCCATGAAGAATAGAGATACAGTTCTCGAATGAAATGATCAAAAGCAGCCTATATATGTCGGTAGTAAAAGAGCTTACCTGCGGGAGGAGGGGTTTTGTATCGCATGCAAGTAGGATGCACAAGACGGCCACAGGGACCTTGACATCTCAACATCTGACCAGGAGCGTTAGAATACACCTCGCAGGACGGGCACACAGGCTGTAAACGATACTGCGCAGGTGAAACGATCAACCGATAGATTTCCACGTCAACCTCGCGTGATCTTTCAGTGGGTTCAGTAGTGCTCTCGTTGACCTTTTTCTGCGAACGAAAATACGTAAATCAAGGACTGAAAACAAGCGGCTAATCGTAGGAATACAATAATTGAGTACTCGTGATCAGAGGACATTCGATAGGCCGCACTATGTCACAGTTATCCTGACGATCCGCCACCGTACCCGCTGGCGTAGATGAATAAGACAGTGGCTAGTCGCGCGAGCCACTAGTGCCGACAAGTTATTCGTTCAGTGCTAGATAGAGCCGAGTCCCAACAGAATGAGACTGTTGTCTGGTGCTTTCACGGATGCGTAGTTGGCAATCTGAATTGGGGTCACTGTGACAAACTTTAAATAAAATATAATGGTTGCGCTGAGTGAGACACTCTTTCGTTAGGTGAAAGAATCTGTAATTTCTAGAAGAATTAAAAACTACACTTTGTGAAGTTAACACTCGTACACTTGATTGTACTGGTTGTTATGCTATGCGCGCCATGGGATCTATTCACTGACTCATCATTTACCAAGATGAAAAAGGTGGGAAATAAATCAAGAAAAACAAAGCTACCTAGGGCAAATCAAAGAAATCCACGTGCGACCCGAAAAGCGTACACATGAGAGAAAGTAAAAAAGGCGTCAGTAGTACAACGGTGCGTCGCACCCACACTTCGATGACACGCAGCTGCCGCCAGCTTTGCGCAGGCAACAGATACTACAACGTCGCTCGCACTTACGCAGATTTCAATCGGTGATCTTTTGATTACAACGCAGGCGCCTAGTCCCTTGGTCCACCAGCGAGCACACGGAAGCATTTCATAAAAACAAGGGAGCAAGCGATGACCAGTGATAAACCGCAACACAAAGACAGCAAGGGTGTGTGAGTGCACAAAGGTGTCCATTGCAAATTATGTGTCTGGGATACACAGAGAGAATAAATCTGAGCCCACTGCGAGTGAAGGTAGTACAGCTTAGAAACTACCCAAGACTGGTGCATAGTAGCGATGAACTGTCGTCTGTGCGTTCAGAGTTTAGCACAATGGACTAGAAGCGATTAAATAGATATAAGAATGGCGAGCATGACGGCAACAATGTGGACAAAGTAGACTTCGAAATAAGAAGTAGAAACAACCCTCTGACGCAAGGGAAACAAAGCAAACATAAGTTTGCTGAAGTGCGCAGCGGCAAAGAGGCTTACTTTGCTCGACTTGCCGGAGGAACCTTGGGTGTCATCGATGGGCTTCTTGGTGGTGGACTTCGGGGACTGCTCAAGAGTCGACCGACTCCTCCGCGTAGGCCGTTCGGACTGCAAGCAGCATGGCAGAGTGCAAAGCAAGGATGACATATGGGAAAACGGAACAAACTAATATGAATGCGGACACGGGAGCAGGCAGTGTCAAGAAGCACGCAGTTTTGTCAGTGGTACTGATGTTGAACAATGAACAATGATTTATCACGAGATAAAAGCAAGTGCTTGACATGTCCCGTAGGATGGTAGCGGTGAATATGATGCAATTAAAATATGTGTGGGTCATCTATCGAACATCTGCCGAGATGAATACTTTGATAATTAACATCAGTGTGAAATGAAAAAGAAATATCGCGCGTAAACATTCAGAAAGACACTGGGGCGCAGTGATAGTTGAGGTAAGGAGTGAGAAAATAAAATATGGTCGCTCACTTAGGTCCATTTGATACATTAGTCCTGTTGAAAACATGCTTGACGTAATCCACAACAGAGGAGCTTAGGTAACAAAATGTTGGGAGCTGAGGGCAACATCTAATCGTTTTTTGAAAACATCCAGGGTAGGAGAGGATACTACTGAGTCTGAGAGTGCGTTCCATGGTTTGCAAACTCGAAGGGAAAAGTAATTCCGTCGACACTCTAGACGGCTATATTGTTCCTTCAACTTTAAGCAGTTACCCCTGAGCTGCGTGTTGTGGCTAAGTTTCAGCAAATGGCGGCATACGTGGTTGGGGTCACTCAATATCTGATACGCTAATATGAGATCGCCGCGCAGCCTTCGATAGCGTCCGCTGAAAATTCCCAGCAACTTCAGCCTTCGGTGGTAAGAGTGATACCGCAGGCCCATCACGTTCTTTGTTGCTCTCCGTTGTGGTGCCTCTATCGCTTCTAGGTCGCGTTTCAACCAAGGTTGCCAAGCTTGGATTGCGTACTCAACTTGCGGGCGCACGTAGGAATTGAGCATCATTGGGAAGATTGATGGGTCAAATCTCCCGAATGCCCTTCGCAGCATGCCGACGTGCTGGTTGCCTCTTTTGGCAGCTACCTCAGCCTGTTTTGAACAGTTGAGGTCGCTCTGTACGATCACACCAAGATCACGTTCCTGGGAGCTATTCTGCAATTCGTTTGTCCCAAGTATGTAGGTGTAGTTATGTCTATGGCGTAATTGTACTACGCGACATTTGTCTACGTTGAACGGTAGAGCGTTTTGAACTGACCAGTTCGACACTGTGTTAAGATCGTGCTGGAGCCGTTCATGGTCATCCTGTCCTCTGATCCTTCGCCATATCTTGATATCATCAGCGAAAAATAAGAAATCGGAAGTAATTGATCTCGCCAAATCGTTAATGAACACCAAGAATAGACGAGGTCCAAGAACCGAGCCTTGTGGTACTCCACACGTCACGTCGATTGCATGAGAAAATGATTCTCGGACTCTCACCACTAGCCGTCGTTCTTGTAGAAAATTGCTGATCCAACTCAGGATTGGATCGCCAATGCCGTAGTTCCGAAGCTTCTGAAGGAGAACTCGATGGTCTAAACGATCAAACGCTTTTGAAAAGTCCAGGTAGATGACATCGACTCCAACTCCATCATCAACAGCTTCAGTCCAGCTATTACGTGCAATTAATAGGTTGGTATTACACGAATGCTTTTGACGAAAGCCATGTTGCTCTGGGGCTATTAAATTGTGGCTTTCCAAATATTGCATCAGCGCGTCTGCGACGATTGATTCCATCACTTTGGATAGTACGGGAAGTAATGTTATTGGACGGTAGTTTGCAGGATCAGTGCGGCTACCTCCTTTATGGATAGGAGTGATGACCCCTTGCTTCCATACTGGTGGAATAAGGTTTTCCTCTAGACATCGCTGATAGAAAACAGCCAGTGGTTCTGCTAGATCACTAGCTACTGCCTGTAGAGCCTTTGGACGGATGTTATCAGCTCCGGGAGAACTGTGGATACGCAAGGATAACAACTTCTTCAACACAGCCTCCGTAGTGAAGGTGATGTTTTCTAAACCAGATGGTGGAGTATTAGAAATGAGGTGAATGTTTGGGCTCGACACTTGTTGGAACGTTTGAGAGTAATGAAGCCGTAGGAGATCAGCTGCTTCCATTGCTGACCGCGTGTATCCATCAGCTGTGACTAGCGCCGGAACCCCTCGCTTTACCTTTCGAAGGCCGTTAATGTGCCTATACAGGAGTTTGTGGTTAGTGCAGAATCGCTTCATTAACTTCTGCTGATGCGTGACCTTGTCCTCGCGGATCAGTTTCACACAGAAGTTACGATGTGTCACGTATGCAGTCCAGGTTTCGGCATTCGGGCAACCCTGGTGATTTCGCCATGCCAAATCCCTCCGGGACATACATTTACGTGTTCTGCTCCTCAGAATTGACTTACTCTGGTTTTTGGGTTGGAAGGACTTCTGTTCCGATGCTTGCGCTACCAGTGTGCTCAAAGTCCTTGTAAACATATCCCAGGCCAGATCTGGGGGGCATTCGAATAAGAAAGTCCAAGATGTATCCTTAACAAGCTTGGACAACACATTGTAGTGCGTGACAGTGTGCACTTTATCCTCCTCCTTTTCCGGGTACTCGGCATAGCATATATAATCAAAGAGTAGAGTGACATGATCACTACGACCCAGTGGTGTGCTTGTAACTATCCCGCCAACCATGAGTTCTTCGTTAGTTAGCACAAGATCTAGTATCGACGGCTTGTTAGAAGTTCGAAATCTAGTGGGAGAGGTTACGTGGTTGTAAAGAGGGTGGATAGCAATAAGTTCTTGCAAACAGGCTTTAAACTGCGTACCGTCAGTTGCCGGCGTTTCTATGTCGTGCACGTTAAAGTCTCCCGCGATAAGAATGTGGGTGTAGGACTTGTTCAAAGCAAACTGAAAAACGTGGTACAGTTTGGAGTCCATTTCCGACGTTGAGTTTGGCGGGCGATAAACCACGGCTAGTAGACATGTGTCCTTGTTTCGCAACCAAAGGCGGCACCAAAGCGAATCGGGAGCTCGGATTTCTGGGTGATCGATAACTTCACATCGGAGGCTTGTATTATAGTAAAGAATCACACCGCCACCCATTCCGGTTCTATCGGTCCGAAGCAGCGACATACCGGGTAACTTGATCTCACAGTCGGTTATCTCAGGGTTTAACCATGTCTCTGTAATTATGACGAGGTCTCGTGGTTGTGAGGCATGGAGTTCTCTAAGTTCGGCCAACTTGCTTCGAAGGCCCTGAGCGTTTGTGTACATGCAAGATAGGGCTTTTGTGGTTAGGAGATCATTGGTGGATGTCAAGTTTGTGTTCGCTTTTAAGCCGGCCGTTAGGTGGCCGGCAATTAATCGTTTTTTGGTTTGTGTATTTCAGTCGTGTCACATGACATTATTGAGCGTTCCTGAACTGATGGTTCACTCGTGCTGTGCTCGGTCCTCCTGTGTGACGTGGGCGCTGTTGTGTCGATCTCTCCGAAGGACTGTGCAAATAAAGAATTTGCAGGATTTGCAAGTTCCATCGAATTTCTTCCGACTTTTGGTCGTTCGCCTGCTGCCTTTAGCCGTATTTCTGTTGGCAACCTAGCTCGAAACTTTAACCAGCTATCCAACAGAACTTGCGTCATTCCCTCAGAGTGTAGTATTACCTTCATTAGCCTAGGACCGCAGCCCTTGTAGTTAGGTGACAACGGAACTCTTGTTAGGGATTTGGCAATAACATTGTTAACACAGAGTGCTTTGCGGATGTAGCACCACTGTTCTCGGTCATGTGTATGTGCATCGTGATCAAAAGCATGCAGGAGCTCGGGAACACCATGAACAAATATTGTTTTCTTGCTATCCCTAGTAGCAATACCGCGTTGCTCCACTGCTTCTTTTGTGCGGTCTTTCCAAGGTAGATCAGGTAATATGCGCACTCCGCTCGGTGAGTTGCGAAGACGAACTGCTGAGAGCAGGACAGCCTCTGTCTCATCTGCTGAGTTTAGAGTTACTCGAAGAATTCGAGGTTCACCAGAGTGCACTGAGGTCGGGTGACGTGCTACGCGTTGCAGCATTGCAGGCTCAACCCGAATACCAATCGCCTCGCAGATGGAACTCCACTGGTTGCGATCGTCTTGCAACTTGCCTTTTATTGTGCCAGATTTGGATTCGGGAACATTGGTGCACACGAGAGTTAGCGCAGCGTGGTTTTGTCTAGCAAGTGTTGGCTTTATACTTTTTGCCGGCAATTCAGGTTGTTTAGAGGGCACCACTGGACTTGACAGTGAAAGCTGCTTTGGGCCACGCGTGCTCGGTACTGAAGATGAACTTGTGTGTGTCGCTCCCGGTGTGTTTGTTGAGGCAATCGATGCGTACGTTACCTGCTTGTTATCTGCACCGGATTTCCTTCGGCTGTGAGCTATCGGTGTCATGGCTGGATCTCCAAGTGAAGCGTCTATGGTTGGAGAAGTGGACGCAGGCATGTTTGAGGCTTGCCCACTGATGGGAGTGAGGTGACCCAGTGGGTTTAGAGTCACAGAGGCTGCAGTGCGGTTGGATCGTCTAGCTCTTTTCTTCGGTTTAGACGCAGAACTAACTTTGACCGGGTGAGGTATTATCGTGGCCATATTTACCTCCGAGGGAGCGACCTTAGTATTTACAAATTGTGCGATTATTTCAGTCATCCTATCGCATTTTTTCATTAGCAATGATAAACAGTTGACAACTGGAATCACTTGACATGATGGGCAAAACCAAATTGTGTCAGCAACTTGGTTTGTCTGTCTCACTTCTTGGACAGATTTGCCTGCACATTGCGGGCAGTACGATTTAATGCAGCTGGAACAGGTGATACTGATCTTAAGGACTTTACTGCAGTTGTCTGCACAACATAGGCGACGCTGAACCATAGGAATGCTAGTTGTCCTCTTGTTTACAACAAAGCCTTGGTGAGTGTATTTTGCGCTAGGGGTGACGCACGAATAGGTCAGAACACGCACACGAACTGAGAGTTGTTCGACCGCACCAAGGTCAGGTGTAGGGGCAGATGGGGGTCGTAACGCGCAGACTGTCGGATTCA